TCTACGATTCCCAAATACCATAAATTTAGTTTTATCCAAATTCAGAGATACTATATTACTGTCACACCATTTCTTTATCTTCTCAAGTTCCTGTGTAACCCATCCAGAGAGTTGCTGTAGGTTTTCACCCGATGCCCATATGGTAGTGTCATCAGCAAATAAAACCACTTTCACTAAATCAGAAACCTTGCATATATCATTAATGTATAGTATAAATAATTTAGGTCCCAAAACAGAACCCTGAGGCACTCCACATACTAATATCCAGCTCACTCGATTGGTATTCACCCAACTTCACAAATTGACGCCTCTGTGTCAAATAACTTCTAATCCATTTCAGAACCATTCCTCTGATCCCATATTTTTCTAACTTGTCCATTAATAACTCATGATTGATTGTGTCAAATGCTTTTTTTAGGTCAATAAATATTCCCATTGTGTATTTCCTCTCATCCATAGCACTTGTAATGTCCTCCATTAGGTCGGTAATGGTCAGAGATGTCGATCGGTTCGACCTAAAACCATGCTTGAAAGAATAAATAAATCAAATCAAAAGATTGGTTGTTTTAAGGTTAAACAAGATGTACTGTATTGCATAATGGACAGAGGAAACAAGTCTTAAATAAGAAGAGTCTTCCAATGTACCTTACATTTTATTTAGGGCTTGTGATGTACAGTGACACATTCTATAACCAAGACGGGTGCCACTGATTTAAAAAGATAGTGGAAGATAGATGGATTGTGATGAAGTTGTGACTAATGTCTTTTGACATCACTGGGCTGATGTCATGTTTTATTATCCTGTGGAACCGTGACTTATTTTGTCCCACAATTTGATTAAGACAAGTTGTGATCAAACTCAGGTTTGATCACTACAAAATGACTTTGCCCCACTGATTTAATCGCAATTGTTCGTGCCCCTTTTTCAAATAATCTTTTCCTTTTGAAATGGAGTAATGACAAGTTTGAATCATGGCTTGTGCCTGCGGTGCCATTGAGCTGGTCACCAAAATGTGAACTCACTGGGCACTGGATGAGGCTCTGCCTTCCAAAATAATACCCTGCTTGCAGTTGGCCTCAATGCTGAGAGTTGATGGGAACAAGATGCTAATCATGTCATTTTGTCTCCTGCATTACTGCACCTAATATTTATATACCATACCTCATTTTCCTTAAGCTAAGTCAGGTTCAGAAGAATCATCTTGACCTATTTGGCTCTGTGAGCACACTGAGTTAGTGATGGTGCAGTGAGTTATTTAAATGAGCTTTGACTCACTGTGGCCTGGCCTTCCCTGGAGCCTGAATCAGACAGCAACAGCATACAGGACCCTGTCCAGCCTATTATCCTCCTCCAAATCCTTAATCAAGCTGTCTGTAGAGGAGAGGACAGTAGTAGCTCGTCTGTCTTTTGGCCAGGCATTAATTTACTGCTGCCTAACAATATCCAATCAACCTCCTCGAGAGGCGTTCAAGCCAGGATCAACTCCCCACTGCCAGTTTCTCCTGGGTGACTCTTTCATCTCTGTTTCTTTTTGACACATTTTGAACGTTGATATGAGTGGCTCTTGTGTTTGGTGGGCTGTTTGAACAGCGAATCAAGCTTTCTCCCTCCACATTCAGTCAGTTGTTCACTGCAGCCTGATTTAATGCAGTGGAGTTGAGTTCTCAGCACTTGTTCAGCGTAATGCCGCAGCCTCACGCAGATAAACATTTGGGGAGATTTAACAGTTTCTTAGGTTTTTATGTTGCACTTTTATTTCAGCATATTATTCAGCATATTCTGTCTGTGGTAATGAGTGATTAAAACATGATTCATGTTGGATTTCATAAAAGGATATGGATTTAGACAAAGGATCGTTTAAATAGTATAAGAGCTCACAATGATAATAAGACTTTTAAATTATACTTTAATATTTTGATGGGTTGTTTGTGCTATGTTTGCCCTATATTTGAGAGAAATTCACCTGCTGTGATCAGTAGACCTTCATGACTGGAAGAGGCATATCAGATAATCATATATGGATTAAAATCGTTTGTGTGGTGAAACAGTTATGTAGACACACCAAAGTGAATGTCAAGTTTGTAAGAGAATCAGCATAAAAAGTGTTTGCAGTCAATATTGCCTCCAGTTCTTTCACAGGTTGAGATGCTGAATAATTAATTCACTCTGGTTAATGAAACAAATTCTGCTGATAAAAAAGGAGAGAATTTAAGTTCTGTTTGAAATAAACAAGTGGAAGTTAGAGTTGTACCACAGCAGCAGCAGGATTATTATGCAAGGGTCAGTGATGGTTAATCAGGTCTCACACTTTATATCCTATTACAGTGTTGCTGTGTTTTGTCACGAGGTCCTTTTGCACATGCTTTCATAACAAAAAGAGGAACACTAATATCTGCTCAGAGAGATTAAAACAAAACTAAAATGTCTATTAAATACTCACTTTTTGCAAAAAAGAAGTTAAAAACCTGCAAAATGTATTGGTATCTGATAATGACCAATAAATTAAATGGCAGTTCAGATGCAGATAAAATTACAGATATTCCTTCATTTCATGTATTCTGTGGAGCTGACCTATTAAACTGCTACTGAGATGCCCAGTGCAGAAGTATACCTCATACATCCTTGATTTATTACCACTATGGACTTTGTATTTGCACTCAAAGAAACTAGAGCATGTTATTTCAATTGAAATATAAAAACATGTAACATTTTTGTTTCTTTCTTTTCTTCTTCACCTTTTTTCTACAAAGCAGTGTGATCTGTAAAAGCCTCTGTAAGATGTCTGTCACTTTTTTGTGCATATGCAAAGAAAGTCTGCTCTCAGCATCGATTCTGCTCTGCTCCTTTATCCTGTGTAGACAGCCTTGATGACACCATGCGCCATCACAGTCGTCTCTACCCCTGATAATTTCCCTGTTTGTGTGTAATGTAAATATTATATACATAATACACACAAACAGTGCTGGAATGATGCCACTCAGCGGCAGTGTCTAACTTGTTTCTGTGTGTCTGGTTTAGGAGCAGAGTTCAGAGGGGCCTCCTGCATCATCTTTGTCCCAGGAGGCTAAAGAGGTGACTCTGGATAACCCATCCACCAGTGATGAACTGGACACACCCACTTCCATCACCTCTGTGGTGACTTCTACCAATGAGAGCTCCACAGAGAGCGACACCCCCCAGCAGACAGATACTGAGGTTCATGACTTTATGTTTGGTCACATTTTTTCACTATCTCCTGACTTCCTACAGTTTGTTATCACAAAGTTTTGGATGGCAAAGACCACAGAGTTATAAAACAATCTAAAAAGAAAACTTCTGGAGCTATTTCCTCAAAACCAAAATGACTGAACACAAATACTGTTCTTCAACATTAATTTGATTTGGTGAGACTGATTGCGTTGTAAAATTTTCTTCAGCAGACTAGGCTATAATACTCACTTTCTGTTACACCTACAGACTGAAGCAACCTAATTGCCTCATGTGTCAGTGGTGCCATGAAACCTTCAATTTCATTCAAGTTTATTTGCTTCATATTTGCACATTTTTGTGCTGAAAAATAACAGGTTTACTCAGACTCTGAAATAAAAAAGTTCAAATCAATCGACTAAAGCAGACAATTACATTTCATACTAATTATTCTGCTCCTGAAAAGTGGCTTGACCAAAACGGTTTCATCAGAGTCCAATCTAAACTCATTTTCACCAAGGGGAATTCATTATTCTTTGGCAGGAAAGAGTTCATTATTTAGTGGACTTTCACACAGCCAGGGAAATGCTGAAATTATGATGATTGATCATTGCTATGAAAATGAGCCAGGCTGGGCTGTGCAGTTTAGGTGAGAGATAGACACACATTGTTGGTGACGAAAACATGGTCAATTCCTAGTAAATTAAGACTAAAATCTTCCTGCTCTGACTCTAAGCACATCAATTTGGTGGTATTTAATGGAAGAGAGGAGACCTACAGACCTTTCAAACAAATGAAATTAGATAGCCTGATTAAAGCTTTCGAGAGGTAATAACTGTGGTGCATTAATCCTTGTAGGAGTCTAAGACCACGGAGCAAGAGGGCGAGCATGGCCCAAGTGAGACCCCAGAATCCTCAGAGACACAGCTGGAGAACCTCCAAACATCAGATGCACCTGATCTCACATCGACTCCTGTGGTTCAAGACAACACTCCTACTGACCAATCTACTCCTGAATCGAGTGCTGAACCCAGTGAGTGTGTTACACCAACCACAACAACCAACAGCACTGCCACAGCACCCCCACAACCTCAGGTGGTAACACAGTCCAGGGAGTCTCAGCTGGCAAATCCAGACACCCAGAGCAGAGTGTACACCCTGCCTGACAGCTACAGAGGTATCGGTGGTGACTTATGTGGAGGGTATGGAAGCCTGTCCCGTGCCACCGTCCACAGCTACTGGTCTGCCAAAACCTTCCAGCCTGGGGCTCACTACACCTTACCCTTCCTCAGGGACAGCTATGCTCCCACAGGACTCAGCAGCCAGACTGAGGAAGATGGCCTAAGTGAACGGGGAGAATCCCCTCTGGACATGAAGACTGACCACCCAGCTGCCAGTTATCCAACACTGGGGGGCATCCACCCGTTCAGGCCAATTACCACTATGGAGCTTCTCCGGGAGCCCTCGCGAACCAGGTAAGTAACTGGATCAAACTTTATGGGTCCCACAGGAGAGACTGTAAATGGGTTCCATGGTGCCTAGATGTGAGGTCAAAAACATCTGAGTCACTGTATGTACTAAGACATTTTGGAAAGCAAAACAAATCAGGTGCTTTGCCACACAGTTGCTATAAAGTACAGCATGGAAAATGTTTTAAAATGTATTTAATTTGTGTTAACCTTGCCCTCTCTAGTTTGTTTGCGATGGAGTCTATTTATTAAAGGTCAATATTTGATTTCATTAATCAATTTTTGGTCAGAAAACAGAACTGAAAAATAAAGGAAACTCAGTCTGTGTCACTGAAATAACAATATGGTCCTGAAAATGAGTTTGCCTTTAAAAAAGACAACTAGAAGAAGCCAACTGATCTTTGAATTAATCACAAGAGTGAACTAACAACAGTTCAGTTTTTATATGACAGCAGAAATACTACCAAAACATCTAAGATATTTAGAAACTTAAAACTGGTTTAACTGTACAGTGTACCTGATTTACAACAGACAGTTTGATTAGCACATGTATTAATCTCATTGACAGGAGATGTGCTTTCAAAGCTCTGAATACACAGATGCATAGTGTATAAAAACCAAAAACACAAACCTTCTAAAGGTCAAAGTGTTTATTTGTCATATGCACAGTTAGGAAACGTGTTTCCCTGTACAACTAAATCCTTACTTTGTCGTCCACATGAATGCCACATAATACAAGTGAAATATAAAGTAGATGAGCAATAACACATCTAAATAGGCAGTAACATCTAAAGCCATTTTGTTAAAAAATTGGAAATGTAGACAGAAATTCAAACCACACAAATGAGACACGGAGGAAAACTAAAATGCAAAGAAAACAAGAAATCACCCTGTATGCATGTAGTCTTATACACTGCTGCAGTAAAAAACACATTCCAACAATGTACAAATCAACACTTTGGCTAATTTTATCACAACTTGCTGTGATAATAATAGATATTGAACGCTGTAGCTCCACAGACACCCTGTAGTTGCCGCTATCCTCTTCCTCTGAGTCAGCCTGGACAATAGACAGACAGATGGACAGCAGTTAAGTAGCAGCTGGGCAATCAGGAATACTACTCTGCTGCAGAGTCAATAAATAAGAAGGTTTCACCTGTTATTGCCTGCCAGGAGCTTTTCCTTAGCCCACATAAAGTGACAGAGCTGTTTACAGAAGATACAGTACAAGCTTATGCTGTTAAATTCACTGAGGCTCAGTCTATTAAAATCTGACATGCCATTCAAACTGCAATACAAAAGAAATAGCTCAACATTTAGGGAAACACACTTATTCATTCTCTTGCTTAGAATTAAATAAAAAATTGATACCACTCTCATATCTGTGAGTTAAATATGCAGCCAGGAGATGCCTCGGATAGTTTAGCATAAAGATTGGATATAGGGAGAAAAGGCAATACCTCTGTTCAAAGGTAATAAAATCCACCTAAGTCTTTTTTTGTCTCAAATTTGCCAAACAACCAGGCCCCATGAAGTCACCACACTTAGAAATGGTTTGGTATATAACACCTGGTAAAAGTTTTTATATGGAATAAACAAACAAGACATAATCTGTTAATTAATGAGCTTCAGAGAAGTTGGTAGATAGATAAAAGTAGAGGCAAGTTAATCTGATTTCCACACTTTAGCTAAGACAATTGTCTGCTGGCTGATTTCATATTTAGTCAACAGATACAGATTTTTTTCTTTTAACCCTAAACAACAAGGTAGTGATTACGCACATCCCCCAAAATGTTGACACTCATACAATAATTCAAATCTTACATGTCAACGTTGATTGTTGTGTACTTTTTGTCCTGATCCAGACCTACATGTATGCATTCCTTTCTGTGTCCCTTCAGAAGTGGATATGATGACGCCTTCATGGCTCAGCTGGAGGGCAACCTGAATCCCTTCTTCCAGGCCATGTACCGAGCACAGACCCTGCAGTTCCCCCACAAACGCAGCAGCATGGTCAGCCTGGACAGCATCCGAAGAGACCCGCGCTGGAGAGACCCCAATCTGCATGAGGTGATCTCGATGCTCAGCCACCCAATGGACCCAGTCAAGTCCAATGCTGCTGCTTATTTGCAGCACTTGTGTTATGAGAATGATCGCATAAAGCAGGAGGTCCGCCAGCTGAATGGAGTGCCAATCTTGGTGGAACTACTGGATCATCCTAAGGCTGAAGTCCACCGCAAGGCCTGTGGTGCATTGCGCAACATATCCTATGGAAAAGACCACAATAACAAAATGGCCATCAAGAATTGTGATGGCATCCAAGCATTAGTCAGACTACTGAGGAAATCCAGCAGCATGGAAGTTAAGGAGTTAGTCACAGGTACAGCTGAATTCCTGAGCCTAGCTACAGCCATAACATGCAATCCTTCATTTTATTTCTAACGTTTTTGTATTCTTTCTGCTGCAGGCACTTTGTGGAACCTCTCTTCACACGAGCCTCTGAAGATGGCAGTCATCAACCATGGGCTTCAAACACTGACTGACGAAATCATCATCCCAAACTCAGGATGGAGAAGAGACTCTGTAGAGCCCTCCAAACTGCAGAGTGCAGAGTGGACCACGGTCTTCAAGAATACCTCTGGATGTCTGAGGTAACCCTGACTGCTGTCAGGGAACACATGACAATAGTTACTCAAAGCTGATTTGCATCAGAACCAATTCTTGCAGGTTTGCTAACAGCTGTTTCTGCAGGAACGTCAGCTCAGATGGGGCGGAGGCTAGACAGAGGTTGAGGGAGTGTGAGGGGTTGGTGGATGCCCTCATTCATGCTCTTCAGTCAGCTATTGTCAACAAGGACACTGACAATAAGGTTGCTCTTCACACTGACTTCAAATTTGACATCTAAAGAATTTAACCAAATATGTTTTTTTTCTGAATACTGTATTATTAGCATTTATAAGCCACTATACATTATATAGAAATATGGTTCCACAACTTTTGGTTTGTGGAAAAAAATAGATTAGTGGATCAGGAAGGACATGTAGCAAATACATGTCAGCATTCTCGGAATCTTGCAGACACTCTTCACTTGGGGTAAATCCTGGTTAAGGAGTACATTATATCTATTAAGAGTACCAAATATGGTGCTCTGGTACATTCAAGCAAAACAAATGGAATTATATTTAACTATAGTCAACTAATATCCACTAGGCTTCTATTTCTAACTGGCATAATAGACTGAGATGTATATTTCATACTAAACTGCTTTAGCATCAAAGTTAACAGCCTGTATACAACTGCATTTAATTCTGACATTTAATGTAATGGATCAAAATAATAATGATCAAAGTATGGATAAGAGTCTTCATAGTCTGTGACATTTCCTCAGAATTCTAAATTTGATTGGAAAAGTCAACAATGCATTTTATTCTGAAAAGGCAACTAAAGAATTAGTCTGGGCAAACACCTGCATAACTCTTATTCCTACTAAAATCTTTTGTTGTTGTCCATTTAGTCAGTGGAGAACTGCGTCTGCATCCTTCGGAACTTGTCCTATCATGTTCACAAAGAAATACCAGGAGCTGAGCGATTTCAGGAGCCCGGTGCCAGTCATCTGATGAGGGGGCACCAGAAGAAGAAGAATGAGCCTGATTGTTTTGGAGGGAAAAGACCCAAGGGTTGGTACAGTAGGCCATCATGGGAGATTGTTTGTCAATTCATTCTCTCACTGACAAATCAAAACCTATGTGTGGTGACATCTACTGTATCTTGGTGTGTCCAAATTAGGGCTGTAATAGGCTCTATATGAGGTGTTCGTCTGAAAGGGAATTAAACTATTACAGCTTATGCGCAGTAGCTCAGATGTACAGACGTCTATGACTGTACAAAGCCTGAGGGACTTTCTGAAGCTTTTACAGTCCCATAACTTTCCACATACATTTTTTTAGTATCCACTGAGATCTATTTTCTTAATGTCCCCTTAACAGCTGTATAATCTACTAGTGTCTCTGTAAACCAGCCACTTTCACTGCTTTTCGGTTTTTCATTTACTTTCAGAATATCCTGGCTTCCAGCACGGGTTTCACATTTATTGCCTCCTTTTTGCCAATGAGACACTGAATATTTCATAAAGGAGCTGATGATTTGCTCTACCCACTGTGCCAGGTTCCAAAACTGAAAAGCTTGCTGATACTTTGTTGCATCAGTTATGTGATTTTTATAACAAGCAGTAATATAACAAGCAGTAAGGTTTTTAAACTCTGTACAACTCTTGGTAGTGAGTAAGTAATATTTCCAATGGCAGATGCACACTAATTAATAGGCAGCAGTTGTTTGTGCTGGAGGAAACAGTTTAATGGTGAAAAATAGGGGTAGAGTTAATTGTGATTTAAAATGTTAAGGCTTTTTACCAAAGTTAACCTTTCAGAAAATTGCACAAAACTAACAAATGCCTCTCTCAACTAAACATTAACCTGAATCTGTCAGTGCCTCGTGCTGGTTTACCACGTAGAAGAGCGTTGTGTTTTCTGCTGCTCTGTCCTTCTCCTGCATAATCCATTCTTTGACATTATTCTTTCTTCTTGTTCCCTCAAACCTTATTCATCAGAGGAGTGGTTCAGTCAAGGTCAGTCTTCTTGTTACTCCTGAATATATTTCCGGCAGTAATACTGTGATTCAATACCACACTGAATTTGCTGACATTATCTGTCTGTGTACTGATATAATGAAAACTGGTGTTTGTGTGCATGTGTGTATCTGTGATGTACAGGCTGGAAAAATGGATTTATGGACAGAAAATACGGTACATTGGATTTACCAAAACGTACAGAACAAATGAGAGGTATATGATATCTGAAAAGAGCTACTTCACAAAATATCTTACATTCCATATTTAACATGCATGTTGATTAGAGTATGATTTATGTACAGTAATATTAAGATTTCTTACACATTTGGCATATTACTAATAGATTAAAGGTAGAAAAATCATAAGGAGCTTTTATCATCATACTGTTATAAAGCACAAGTAGCTGCTTTCTGTATTTTTTGTTTTGGCCTGACTTGGAAAAGCCATTTCATTACTAAAACAAAATGAGCAGCTAAAAGATTGATAGCGTTTTTTTTTATTTGGCATCATCTAGAGGAATATTTCCTCTAGCAATATAAGACAATGAAACTTACTCAAGGTTCTGCCTGACCTATTGTATATACATGCCACTGATACTGTATGTCTTCATTTGGTACTGGTAAACTATCTTTATATTTTGTATAGCCGTCACACTGTCTTTTAGCCATGAATGCATTCTATAGAAACAAGGAGGGGAAAAGTCCCAAAATAGTACTGTAGGGCTAAATACTGTATGTGTGGGTCTGGCTGCCATTAGAATAGAGATCAGAGCCAAGCTCATGTCTCCCACGCTCCAGCCAAGGAATGCAAATTAGATTGAGAAGCATGCTATGGTTCTGGGTCAGCTTTATGGTACTTGTCAGTCATCCAGCATCCTCCACTGGCTCAGTACAAAAAGTAGGATTTCTTTAAAATTTCTTCCATGCACCTGTATTAAATGAATCATTTTTTAAATCTACTAAATTAGATAAACCTCTGCAACAATGTTAATTTGCATTTATACAACTTGATTTGGTGACTTACATAAGGTAACTGTTAATGACACTGATAATATCACCATCATTTAAGTCTTTAGTCACTGAAGGTCATGAGTGTTATTTGCCACTGCTTAAATGTCATCCCTGACTCCGTCTGCCTTTCTGCTAAAGGGTTGGAGCTGCTGTACCAGCCAGAGGTGGTGAGGCTCTACCTCTCTCTTCTCACCTGCAGTCACAACCACAACACCCTGGAGGCAGCTGCAGGAGCGCTGCAGAACCTCGCCGCCGGACAGTGGGCTGTGAGTGGATGGAAAAGTTCTTATTTCTTACAGTTACATGATTCTACACAGGGTTGTAAACTTTTAATTTATGAAGTTAATTACAAACCCACGTACAAGTAGCTGATTATTTTCTTAGATGTTTAGACACTACCTGGTGCCCTTATATACCTTGGAGCAGATCCAGGATTTGTCTTTCTTTCTCACATCATCACTGTTTTCCCCTAATATTCAGTGTATTAAAAAGAGAATTAAAATACAGCTACACTGTAAACATAATTTCACTTCAATTTAGGGACGAATTTAGCCACTACGCCAGTCTGTACTGTGCAGGGTCAAACATCGTCCTCAGGATGTTATGCAGGGGTCTCCATGCCCAAATCTTTCTTCTTTGCTGTTTGAGTGTGTTTCTGAGGCAATATCAAAGTGTGCAGAGGGAGGGAGATATGGGATCGATCATCTTAATCTAACCAGACTCTCCAGATTGACTTTGTTACCAGCCTACGTGATCAAAAATCACTTTTGCCCCCCATGGCTCCATCAGCCTGTCAAATAATGTACTTTGCTAAGATATACAGTGCCATGACTGTCACTTTAAGTTAACATCAACTCTAATGCAGGGCTCAGATTAAAGGAGTTTTTAAATTCTAGTCATCATACACAAGAGAGCAGCTGGGAGTGTATAACTTAGTTCTTACTCATGATAGAGTTGGCATCTTATGTTTATAGGGTGCTTGTGGGTAGTTTTGAAAAAGAAATGATTTGCTAGTTAAGATATAGAAGGGGACCCCGAAAGCAAAATCCCACAGATGTTTTTAAAAATGCTAAGGTCATCGTCACTCAGTTGTGTTTGTACTTGCAGTGGTCCAGCTACATCCGAGCCACAGTGAGAAAAGAGAAAGGGCTGCTGATTCTGGTGGAGCTGTTGCGCTCAGATGTGGACAAAGTGGTGCGAGCTGTGGCTATTGCTCTTCGCAATCTGGCCATGGACAAAAGAAATAAAGACCTAATAGGTAAGGTACAGGCTCGACACTCTACACCTTCGCACTACTACACACTAGCTACACGGCTCCACACTCTGCATGCTCACACCAAATTTGCTGCGTTGTTGCTCCATTATTACAGGGAGCTATGCTTTGAGGGACCTTGTTGGTAATCTGCCATGTGGGCAGCAGCACCCAGCGAAGAATCTTGAGGGTGATACGGTGGTGTCTATTCTGAACACTATACATGAGCTCATCACAGACAGCCCAGAGAATGCCCGAGCCCTCATACAGGGTCATGCTGTACAGAAACTGGTGGCCATCAACAAATCAAGGTACATGAATGTCTTTCAACTAAACTGTACCTTTAGACAAATCACTAACAACAAAAAGCAAAATTTATTAAGTAATAATGGTACAGTTGAGTCTCAAAAATGTTTTAATTAAGAGGAAAAAGAAGAAAAAACTACATTATTTTGGTATTATTTACTGTAACTGCTGAATATCTGTGTATACTTCTGAACCAGGCTCAGAGCAATATCTCAGGGTATAATTAGCATCATATCGAAGGGCAATGAGAGCTGGATTTTAATCATTGGGACAGTGTTGTCTCAGAGCTGTCCCCTGTTGTTTACCACAATGTCTGATGACTTGTTGTCAGCCAATCGGCACGTGACACCAAGGCAGCTTCGCATGTGCTCCAGACAATATGGGCCTACAAAGACCTGAGAAGCACTCTGAACAAGGCAGGATGGAACAAGAGCCACTTTAAGGTATCTGTTGCCATTTCCTGGTAATTTTTCTGTAAAACTCCCTCATAAACATCATCAGCATATGTACTGTAATAAATGACATACACCAGTGAAACATCATCAAAACAAATGTTTTACCCATGTTTTACAGTTTAATACAATTAGAGTAACAAGAAAGCATAAACTTCTGGTTGCCATTCAGTAACCTTTTTTCTTTTAAAGCCAACATCTGCTGGAGGGACAAAAAAATCCAAGAGTGGAAAGCAAGGCAGCGATGATATCACCTTGCCTCTTATGGACAAAAGCCAAGGTCAGTCAATCATTGCAGCCCCTCACCAAAATGTTATTATTAAGCCATCATCTAAATGAGAAAAGTGTCCTCTAGCTCTAGCTTTTTTCATTTTAAAAATACTGTGGTTCTTGTCATGTTAGGGACCAAGAAATGGCCATTTTCAGTCCCAGACCATATTCTTGTGAAACATAGCCTTAAACCAATGATGTGCTGCCAAGGTTATCAGTGCACAGACTTAGCTTATGAGCTTGAGCAGCCTCTCCCAGAGGCAGGGCAGGCTCATGCATCACCTGTCACATTTCATTTAGATGTTTTTCCAAAAAGGCATTCACTTCCCCACGTCAAGAGTGGCCTTTATAGCTCCCCCCCCAAAAAAACTGGGATTATCCCTTTAGGGGATTTACCTATTTCTCTTGCTGGCGTTTCAGTGTCCTTTTGGAAACTGGTATATTATTGTCTGTACAAATTGATTTGCCCTTTTCTCCTACATATTTCCAAGACTATCGTTTACTATATCTTTACCATATTGTCTACTGCTGGTATTTTTTTTGCAGATGTATATTCCAGCTTAGAGCCAAATGACAGAGTTGGAGATGGAAAAGGGCCTGTTGTGGAAAGAGATACTCCTCAGGTAATCAGAATGATTTCTGATCTAACCGACTTCATGACAACACATAACATTAGTTTTGCATACAGCATATCCCAGTTTACTAATGACTGACTTCATTATGGAAGATAAACAGATAAGGTAACACTTTAGTTTAACAGGATTTTGTTTTACTGTAACTTGCAACTTGTGTTTGCTGTCAGTGATTTTCATTGGTTAACACTGGCTGTTTACATTTTTCATGACCTAGGTGATAAGTGAAAGAAAGCACTTCATCAGAGCTGGCAGACCTGCAGTGGGCCTCATGGATAACAAACCTCCTCCACTGGACTCCTGGGTGTAAACATGACAACGTTGCCAGACAAGCTGGTATCCTGTAACCATACTTTCCATTGGTGAAATAAGGATTTGTGCCATTTGATCACTCTTGTACAGACAAAGAAACAGATTCAGTTAAAAACTATTTTCTCTGTTTACAGAAAATAATGTGCCAAACATTTACATGTATTTACTCTATTATGGAGGTTATTTGGCAATAGCTTTGATGGATATTGTCATTTAAAATGATATACAGGATGTCTGAGGGTTATGAAAGTATGACATTGGAAATAGCCTAAGTATGCAAGCTGAGATGAATCTAGACTCCAAAGAATATATGACATGTATTATATAAATTTCACTGCTACACAAAATGAGATAAGTAATAATACCTATAAATTGTCAAGCTCTTAAGGGCTGACAGGACATATGGATTTGCTGTTGTCCATCCCTGTGGGTTCTGGGCTAAAGACGATTCTGTTATAAAATTATTTAAAAATATATTTTTGGTCAGTGTTTGAGATAATTAGGATTAGGGCCTTTGTTGGCCTAATTATTAAAACATCAAAATGATTTAAAATTCTGACTGTGCAGTCATTAGAAAATCATCTCTATTCCATTTGTTTCAAGATAGGCAAAATGGGATTGTAAATGTGTAACAAAGCACTGTTAATATTCAAAGGTAAGGCATTTATATTGTAATATTTATTGTAATACCCATATTAATAGGTTATTGATGTGTATTAGCTAATACCTGTCAGAGATCCTACATTCAGTACAACTCTGCCTTGCAGTTGTTCTTTTTGCATTGCAATGTCGAATGAAAAGTGAAAATAAACAATGTGCATCATTTCTCATTTTTATTATAGACTGAATTTTGTCTGATTCCATTTTTTTCAATGATTCATCCTAACATTAAACAGCATGCCAATTAAACAATCCCTACTTTTAAATGTTCTAAACAGGCTTGAATGAATAAAAAAATTGAGCTGAGTTGTTCTTAAAGGCAGACACTAGTGGACATTTCTCAATGTCATAGTCTGACTAAAAACTTAACTTATTTGTGTTTTTGGCTGATGTAGGCTACATGTGTTCACAGCCAGGTCCCAAGACTAGTCACACTACATGGGGTACAAAATGATATACATTCCCTGTATCAGATACTTGAATTCTAAAGTGGTTTAATCACAGTTACAAACAGATAAAAAGATGGGATATATTAGGTAGAATGCCAGTTATCAGCATTTGTCAGCTGTAAGAGGGGTTTGGCGCTCAGTAAAATGACATGCAGGTTTTTAAACCACTAGCCTAACGGAGTGCCACAAAGGTGAAATCAGTGCCAAGCTGCAGGTGCACTGGCCAAAGAACACTGACAAATTTACAGTACTAAATTTTTTAAAAGGAGCAGTGTGGAAAACACACTCAATTCCCGGCGGTCACAAGATGAAACTAATAAATAGGATAAATAAAAATATGTTGGGCATCCTTTATGCGCTAAGAAAGATCTATCATATGCAGTTATTTGGCATGCAACCCAATGAAATACAGTATGACTAACTTTGCAGCAGTTATTGGAATAATAGAGGTAGTGATTTTATTTGAAGGAATAGTTAAGATTGCAGTACATAGCCCCAGTATATGCCCAGTACTTTACAATGCTGCAAAATACTGATGTAAAACTGACATACAGAATTACATTAAACACATAAATAAGTTTAACAAGAAGACTCGTTGTACTCTAACTTTGACTTTCTGACTGGATATTATTAACAGTGACTCAGAAATAGAGGATCATGAACAGCAATGCATACAACATGTGAATATTTTGTCTGTTAACATCTCGCTTTGTTTATATTCACATATTTTCTCCCCCAGAGGTTATTTGGTCTTTATCACAGGCCACATAATTATACTTTTTCTACCTTATGTACAAACTGTCAAACATTCACATGATTTCATATTTGCAGGAGCTGCAAACTATGATTATGAATTTCTAGACTTGAGTTACACAGAGGGCTAAAATGTCTTGGTATTTGTCATGGTTTCTCCTGCAGGCATGGCTCAGTTGCATAAGTGTTGGCATTTTAGATACACATGTTCTGAAATGTCTCATGTCATGTTGAGGTTTGCTTGAATCATAATGATATAAATCCATATAATTTAACATTTACTTTTTATTACCTTTCTTTGTTGCCATTTGTTTAAGTGAATATATGTTGATATGATGGCAACTGTGGCATATGTGAGCTGTCAGTGATTGTTAGAAAAAAAAACTGCAATTAATTAACAGTAATTATACTGAAAGCATATGCAACTAAGTTCAAACCAGCCTGTTCATCACTTAATAAAAATGACTAATGCTAATTTTTTCCAAGGCAGAAGAAATGGATTTTGAGTCTGCGCTAGCATCTTGTGGAGACTGCAAAGCATAAATTAACAATGTTATGACAGGTTATTGATTTAGATAGGATAACACAAGACAGAAAAAAATGTACACACAATTTCTAATGTGTCTAATTAAAGCAGAGGGTGCCTTATAACATTTCATAACCCAACTGTCAAATGCATATAAGGCAGGTATTGTTAGTGGTTAGTTGAGAGAATATCAGTGGATGTTATGGATAGTCAAAGGCTCCTGGCAGGGAGAGAGAGAGGAGGGCCGAGCAGGGCCTCAGTGACATCTCCAAACATGTCAGCAAAGCACATTGGATAGCACAGCCCTGCCCTCAGAACCAAACCGCAAGATCAACCAGGGAAAAGTAGTTTTCTCTTTGCCCCCAACAGCAACTCATTGTCCTCCGTCAACTCCCTGAGGTCTTCCTCAGAAGGTTGAACTGTTTGCACTTATCCTCTCCAAAGGCTCCGTCACATCTTGTCATCTGATATCTCAGTCTTTGGATCTAAACATTTCCTCCACTCGACCATGCCTGCTTCGTTTTTTTCCAGACTTGGGTTTATCCATTTCCTGAATGTCCTGCTTCTGGTGTTGACTGATTTGAGCTTGAGCAGTCCTATCAAGTCTCCTGAGAACCATCACAAGGCATCAGTCGGCAGGCATGTGCATGATAATCCGCTACTTGATGCGCAGGACTTTTTGAGCCAGTTTCTGTCCACACTGAATCTCACAGAGTTGAGGCCCCAGCCCAGGCCCCTTGCTGCCCTTATGGAGCCACCAGAGTACATGCTGGAGCTGTATAACCGATTTGCCAACGACCGCACTGCTGTGCCCTCAGCCAACATTGTGCGCAGTTTCAAGAATGAAGGTACAAACTTGCTTCTTTGAATATATTGCATGAGGAAATGCTACACTTTTGTTTCATTTTTAGAAAATGAAGTGTTAAACGCCCCACAAAATCACTTCACTGGAATAATGTTTAATATTCTAGTAGTTTATAATAAGAAAACATTGAACTACTCTGATTTATGGAAATCAAAGAGATGTAAATGTGGAAGTGTTATATGCTTTATTTAAAAATAGTGAATATTTATCTTTAACAACTTAAGAATCATTTATGAATAATGTTCAAACAAACCAAAAACATGTATTATGATAACTATGTATTTGATTCAAGGGTACATTTGAATATTTAAGAATTGCATACAAAATGCATTAAGACGCACTTATTGATATTTTAATTTCAGATTCCTCCCCCTACAGTATAACAGCCAGAGGCATACAGATCCATCCCCTGCTGTTCAACATGTCCATGCCCCACCATGAGCACATAACAATAGCTGAACTTCGCCTTTTCACCCTAGTTCAGAAGGCCCAGAGACCATATGCTGGCTTTGACTGCAAGATGACCATTTACAAAATACATGAGGGTGTCGTTTGGACAAAAGAAGTCGGGAAAGAAGGGAGAAGGAGGGATAAAGAGGAGGTGGTCGAGATGAAGGATTTAGAGGAACTGGTGACAAAGCATATCCATGCCAAAGATAACAGCTGGGTGTCATTTGACCTGACTCACGTGGTTACACTCTGGCAGAAATCAGGGTGTGCACTTCATAAACTAGAGATTCATATTGCAAGTCTGGGGTCAAAGGAAGAAGGGACCACACAAGAAATCACAGAGGAAAATGGAAGTTTGGTTGAGATTGATATCGACAGAAACTTGGAAGGGAAACACAATGCAGTAGTGATTGTATTTTCAGATGATCAGAGCAGGGACCATAAACAGGATAAAAAACAGCTCAACCAGATGATTGAACATGAGGATGACCTTCCTGAAAACATGGTCCGGAGCCAGCAAGCTTTCTGGGGGCACTTTAATCACAATGCTGCCCATGCTAACCAGGACAAACTGGAGTCCCTCACACAACTGCAGTCCAATCTTATCTATGACACACCTCCCCGAATCCGTCGCAATGTTAAGAGTGAGCCATGCAAGCGGACCCCACTCTTTGTGGATTTTAAAGACATTGGCTGGGATGCGTGGATCATCCAGCCTCTGGGATATGAAGCATATGAGTGCAACGGTGTGTGCAACCCACCTATGACCTCTGAGGTTTCACCTACCAAACATGCCATAGTGCAGACACTGCTGAGTGTTAAGAGTCCAGAGAGAGTGTCACGTGCCTGCTGCGTTCCCACAAAGCTGGAGCCAATATCACTTCTTTATCACGACAATGGGGTGATCACTTTCAATCACAAATATGAGGAGATGGTGGTGGCAGAGTGTGGCTGTAGATAGTCCTGAATGTTAAGACAGACTGTGCACTGATGGATCTAAAGGAATGAGTCTGTTCAATCCTGATCTCAGAAACATCTATTCATGTGCTTGTTTCCACAGTATCTAAGATCTCACACAGTGGTGTGTAAAAACATGATTGTGGACTTAGTTGAAAATTAGGGATGGACACAAATCTGTGCTACATGATGTAAATTTGCTGCTGTATAAAGATAAATGAGTTAGTATTATATTATATTATAGTATAAAGCTTCCAAAGCACTGTTGGAAATCTTTTTAAACACAAACATATTTATTTGCAGGTTATGACTGTAACAGGCCATACAACAGACAAAATGTCTAATAGCAGATACTTGAACATCCTGATAATCTTGTTAAAAATCTAAGTTTATTATTGCGGAATTTCCATCACAGACTTTTCTCAAAACAATTTTTTCAATCTACATTTGTTCTGGCAGAAATTATTTGTAATGCAGAAGTCACCACCATAGCCTCCAAATTACAATGACATGCACTAATGTTAGCATGCTGTACATTTTTAAATAAGAACATTTTCTTATTGTACCTTCAATTTTAATCGAATCACAGACTTGCCAAAATACTTAAGTAGATATACATGCTGGCATTTTGAAGCCACTGGTCTGATTTTACAAATCTGAAAAAGTTGGCACACTATGTAAAATCAAAATTAAAACTGAAAATAGTGATGTGTAACTCATCTGTGTCCTGTATTACACTGAAAACTTTGCCTTTGCCAAGGGCACTGACACAACACCAGACCATGACAGACCCTGGCTTTTGGGCTTGTTGCTGGTAACAGTCTGGATGGTCCTTCTTGTTTTTGGTCTGGAGCACACAGCTCTCAATTCTTTCAACAAAAGACCTGAAATACTGATTCGCCTGAGCACAATACATGTTTCCACTGTGTGATGGTCCATCCCAGATGCCTCCAAGCCCAGAGCAGTCAACTGCGCTTCTGGACACTGTTGACCCTGGGCTTCCTTTTGGCTCAGAACAGTTTTAAGTTGCATTTGTGGATATAACTACGTAATGTAGTGCCTGACACAGGTGTGCCAAAATAATCCTGAGCCCATGTGGTTATATCACTTATAGAAGAGTGACGATTCTTGATGCGGTGCAGTCTGAGGGATCGGAGAGCACAGTCATCCAGCTTAGGCTTTGCCCTTGCCCTTTACAAACTGAAATCCCACCTGTTTCAAATGGAATCATCATTTCATTGTCTTACTTCATTACTGGCCCTGAAATGCAACCGTCCCAACTTTTTTTTGGAATGTGTTGCAGGCATTAGAATTGAACTGTTTTTTTCTGAACAAAGAATAAAGCTGATGAGGTATCACATCAAATAATCTGCTGCTGTATAGTTTTCATTGTAATACAGGACACAGATGATTTACAAATCAATATTTTCAGTTTTAATTTTGATTCTACATACCATACCCACTTATTCTGATTTGGGGTTGTACAAATGTGACAGGTTTCCCCTTACTTGCTTTCAGAAAATGTATTTTTGATGGCTTTTGACCAGGAGAGGATTTTCACAGTGTCTTGGAGCTCTTCAGGGCTTCTTTTAAAAAAAAAAAGTTAAATTCCTTTATCTAAAATTGCTGTCAATTGCTGTGAAATCTTTCTTTATACCAGCCATTCATATCTTATTTTTAGTTCTCACACCAACATTAATGTTATTGTGGTTGTAAAAATAAAATATCTAAAAAAGAAATTTAAATTAATTGAGCACTTTCTGATCTCTGGTAGACACTGTTTCATTGTCAGGTAATCACAGTACTCTCGACCCAACAACCTTAATCCTCATTCCTCTAGTATCACATGCCTTGCGGGCCTCTCTCTGCCCGCTTCCATGTCATAGTGATAAGGAGGTGTCAGAGCCTGGAGTCTTGTAGACCATCACTCAGGATGGGACGCCACTCCAAGTGGCAGCATTTGTCAGAAGGTGGTGTTAGATTCCTTGTCTCTAACGCCAACACGCGCTATTGACAACCTTGACATCAGGCTGGTCAGTGCCCTCTGAACCCTCCCACTTCCTTTTTCTGACATGGGCATGTTGATGCCCTTATCAAGGCCACAGCAACAGTACAAATGGAAAAAATACATGTCACATCATCACCTACTGTAGCTTCAGCTGTTAACAGACGGAAACAGATAACATTAATGGAATAACAGTGTGGAACTTTCTAACTTGAGAGGATCCTCACTCTACATGCAGATTTACATAAGCCAAGTGTGCAGGGGAGAGATATTGACTGACAGTGAACAAATTGAGCTACCATTGGGAAGGTTATTTAAAACTGAAATAGCTAATGTCTCTTACATGATCTGACATGTTGGACATCCTGTTGTTCAGAACCTCTTGATGTGGTATTGCAATATGAACAGATATAATGTGGAACCTTTGCACTCTTTTGAAGTAATTAATGTAAAAGCTTGTACTGGAGCTGGTTGACTATTGGGGGAAATGTTTTCTAAAATGGTTGGTGAAGTGCACCCAGACCCATTGCAAATTATTGACTGTTCATTGTTTATGGCCTTAAAACAGAAAGGAAAAAATGATTTTTATTGTAATACAACATTGGAAAACACAAGAACCACCTTCAGAATAGCACTGGCTAATGAAACACTCCACCTCAACAGAATCAAGTTTGCAGGATAAACATGGTCAAACTTTAAATGCCCTTTGCTGATGTTCCGGAAGTTCAGCAATCCTAACTCTCTTTATGTGGTATGTGTAAACTACTTCACAGCTGTAATTTATTACAACTTCCTAGTGTTATTTGAATATACAGTATGTTGCAGTAAAGTAGGCTTATACATTTTCATCAGTGGAGAGTAGCAGGAGACATTCATGTGATTATATGTCATTCAGTCTGTTTTCCAATATATATTTGCTTTACAGTCAATTAGAAATCAAATGTGAGGAGTTTTTAAACACCTAGATGGTTTGAGGTAAATGAAACTGAGTGATCTCATTGTCCTCCTGTCATTTGGTCATGGCTTACTGGGACACTTCAATAACAGAAACATTTGTAACATCTGTGCTGTTCCTATAAGTCAGAATGTCTGCTGTGGAAAAATCCTAATTAGCCCCCTACCTGCTAGGCTACTAACCTATCCCTGGCACAGAGAAAAGCTGTGGGCCTCTCTCCACAGTTCCTCCAAACCTTATGCACAGTCAGCTTTAAGTTCCCACCAGATTGCTAGCAATAAAATCAGAATTTGCTGCATAGAGCTTCTGCAAAAAGATGAAGATTACTTATTTCCTAAATTGCTTTATTGGCACATATATTCTACAAACCATCTGATACACAGTTAACCTGGGGAGCCTATTAGGGGCCCTGAGGGCATAGGCCTAATTGCTCATTGTTTATTAGAATTTAGACATTTTTATTGTTAGTCTTGACTGATGACCACTAAAATAAAACATAGGTCATTTCAATCATCTCAGATTAGCTGGGTTTAAAACTAATTCAGGAATATTTTAGGAATAACCTAACATCTTGTGCAGTAGGACATTATCACTCATGTAGTCCAGAACACTGAGACAAAAAGATTATCCATAAGAAACTAGTTTGTTATGGTAAATTAGCTATCATTGTTTTGATATATTAGTATTTGACAAAGAGGAAGCAAACACAAACGGTAGGCTGTCACATTTTACGGATGCATGCGCAGTTGGATCGTGGTGGGTGGAGAAGATTTTGGGGATTATTTTCGTGACCAGTTATCCAGTGCAGGTGTTAGCGTACATTATTATTGTATTTTTTTTAATTTTTTTTTTTACGATTTAGCGTTTGTAAAACGAACAGATAAACAAATGCCCGTAGCGGATTTGGACCATTACAGAAGAGGGTTAGTTAGCCAGTAGTGTGAAGCTGATGAATGTCATTTAGCGTTAGCTGTTAGCCTATGTGCTAGCAAGCTAGCCAAACATTAACGCACGGTAGTTAACATTATAGAAACTGTCAAACCGTGGATAGCCTAGATAAAGCTATTCATTTACAGTTGGTTACCACTGGGACTAACGCTACGACGTGGATCAGTCACTGTAAGTCCCAACATAACGTTTTGTTCAGATGAATCTCTAATAAACTAGCGTTAGCTTTTAGCTAACTAAAACTAGCATTAATTATGATAAAATACAGTCCAAAGATAATCCCAGTGATAGGCTAACTAACGGCAACAGAGCTCATTCACGACTAAACTGGGCAGTATTAGCTAACTTAAAGTAATGGTCTTCAACAATAGCACTTAAATCTTTATTGGTTTGAATACGTAGTCGCACTTAGTAACGGAGAAATATAAATTAGGCCAGGTTGAGTTGCCTAAATTACTAGTGAGCCATTGTGAAGAAGGATCCGCTACAAGTGTTTACTAGACTCTACCATTATCGCTAACGTTAGCTTCGTTTGCTGTGGAAAATGCTCTTAAAACAGTCATGCTTATCTGGTTTTTAATCGTTTATTATTTTTAATGGGGTTAATGCTCTCTTTGTCTGTAACCTTATAAAAACTTTGCATGTGTTTGAGTTGTTCCATAAGTGAAGCTGTCCGTGCCTGTGTTCACACAGTAGTACATGGAAGCGAAGATAGGCTCACAAGCTAAAATTTGTATTTCTAATGTCTTTTAAATTCGCTGAAATCCCACTAACTTAAGTGTCATTTTACTGTCATCTTTAAAGACCTTTAAGGGGGTTTTAAAGGCAGACACTCCAAATTGCCTTAGGTCTGTTGATTTAGACGGGTTGAACGTGATGAATCAGTTCTCTCCCTACACTTGAAATTAAGTCAGGGTGATAAGACGGATTGGACATTGTGTAGTACTTTATGGAATGCAGTGTGACGTTTTGGTTGGCATACCCATCTTAATTCTTTCCCTTTAGGTTGCTAAACGTGGACAGCTTTAAGTCAACAGTTATTTCACCTTGTACCTTCTGCCGGTGAAGGCATAGAGGATAGTACACAAAAGCCTCCCTAAGGTTGAAACTTAAGGAGCAAGATGTCAATCACGAACACTCCCACAAGTAATGATGCCTGCCTGAGCATTGTGCATAGCCTGATGTGCCACCGTCAGGGTGGAGAGAGTGAAAGCTTTGCTAAGCGAGCTATTGAAAGTCTTGTCAAGAAGCTGAAGGAGAAAAAAGATGAGCTGGATTCCCTTATCACAGCCATTACTACGAATGGAGCGCATCCCAGCAAGTGTGTAACCATACAGCGAACTTTGGATGGGCGCCTACAGGTATAGTAACAGATGCACAATTGTTTAGTGTTATACTCCTTGTAATGGTACATTACTTTCTTCTACAAGAAAATTGAAAGAGAAGATTCAGAAACATTAGCTGTGTCATTAAATATTCCTCTTCTTTCTGTGCTTTAGGTTGCGGGACGTAAAGGTTTTCCCCATGTTGTCTATGCCAGACTGTGGCGGTGGCCTGATCTACACAAGAATGAATTAAAACATGTCAAATATTGCCAGTATGCCTTTGACCTGAAATGTGACAACGTCTGTGTCAACCCATATCACTACGAGAGGGTCGTTTCTCCAGGCATTGGTAAGTAAGAATCACAGGTTTGTTAGTTCCGGCTAGATCTCGTTGTTTTAGTTAGTGATGGATAAGAACATTGCAGGCACACTGAAGGACTGTGAAGGTTTCAAGGAAATGTGTGTAACATGCTTTAGTCTGTTCAAGCAAGCAATTTTTAATTCAGTTTGAATGATTTTGATGCAAAGATGCACCCCTAGTACTCTTACTGATAAGTTCAGAGTTGCTGTGATCTGGTTGGAGAAAGTACAGATCATGTTAATGAGTTTGTATTCAGAACATTTACCTACACAAATGGATTAATATATTTCTTGTTAATGTTTTTACAGACTTATCAGGACTGACTCTTTCCAATTCAGGTAAGGAGGTGCCAAAGTTTTCCTATTTGCTTGTTGAAGATTGTGTGGCTTCCCAGCAGTCTAAACCAAGTCTATCATCTTCTGCTAGGCCCACTGCTGGTGAAAGATGAGTATGACCTTGATAACCAGCAATCTCACTCCAGCTCTGAAAGCCACTTGCAGACCATCCAGCATCCGCCGTCAAGGCCTGGTCCACAGGAAACCTTCAGCAGCCCTGCTCTGCTCCCCCCATCAGAGGCCAGCAGTTCAGCTTCAACCTCTGCTTTCTCTACTATCACTGCTGGACCCTCAAGTGAGACACTATACTGGGTCTACATGTACAGTTTATACAAAACATATGGAACATGCACTCATGTTTTATTTATTTGTTTATTTATTTATTGGGTCGGGATTTACTGTTCACGCAGGTAACATTTACTTTAGTGTTTTACTTCAAGATTAAATCTGCAACCCTTTGGCAACACAACTGTTTGTAATTTATATTTACAGATCCTACACCCAGCTGGAGCAGGAACAGCAGCTTCACCCCCACGGTGCCTCAACACCAGAATGGGCATCTACAGCATCATCCACCCATGCCTCACACAGGGCATTACTGTGAGTGGGGGGAAAAACTGGATGCATTCTGCAAAACTCTCACATCAAGCCTGAAAAATAGTTTGTAACATTTCAGACAACTTACAGATGTGAACATACATTATGTTTATTCTGTATTTTCTTTTTATTTTCTTACTATTAGAATAATGATCTTTGTTAACCTGTTATTTGGCTTAACAGTGACTGGCTGGAGGACATTATGATTATAATAGAGGTGTTACTTCACCAGTGATTCTGGGACAGGGCAGCCCAGATATCTATATTTACATTATTATTATAATAAATTTATTAAAAGTTTATGGATGTGTGACCAGCCAATGCGAAATGTACTGTGAATGAAATAAAAAATGTGTTCATCATAATATTCCTCAAGTGCCAGGGTGTTTGATGAATCTGTTCATCTTGAGTGCCATTACCTCTTGATCTCTTCTTTATTTCTGTTATTCTTCAGAAATAAGTATAGATCACATCTGAAGCACTGATGTGGTTTGAAAATTTTCTGTTCATAATTAATATCGGCATATGTTCTTACAGGGCCTGTTACTAATGAAATTGCATTTCAGCCCCCCATATCCAATCACCCTGGTGAGTAACGTGCTGCAGATGCAAGACAGTCCGTATATTTACCCATAATATATTTTAAAACTGTAATCAGTGCAACCCGTTTGACCTGAGGTTGCTTGTTGGTTTGTTCCAGCTCCAGAATATTGGTGCTCCATTGCATATTTTGAGATGGATGTCCAGGTTGGAGAGACATTTAAGGTGCCATCCACATGTCCAATTGTGACTGTGGATGGCTATGTGGATCCATCAGGAGGGGATCGCTTCTGCCTGGGCCAGCTGAGCAATGTCCACAGGACAGAGAACATTGAGAGAGCTAGGTACTCCACCACATTCTTTGAAATATCCATCCATCCATCCATCCATTTTCTTCCGCTTATCCGGGGCCGGGTTGAAATATGTCATCTCAAAGTCATTCAAGCAATTGGTATTTAGTGTTTGTCTGTTTTTATGACAAGTTATTAACGGCTATGCAAATGTCTCACTGCTCTGACTCTTCTTGGTTATTTTTTTACCCTTCTTTCTGTCCTTAGGCTCCACATTGGGAAAGGTGTGCAGTTGGAGTGCAAAGGTGAAGGAGATGTCTGGGTGCGCTGTTTGAGTGATCATGCAGTGTTTGTGCAGAGCTATTACCTGGATCGAGAGGCTGGACGTGCCCCTGGAGATGCAGTTCACAAGATCTACCCCAGTGCTTACATCAAGGTGAGATCCCATTCTCATACAGTGAAAAGCAGAAACAAGTAGTGTCTTTAGAAAACCCACCTGAATAGTTCTTGCTGCTGGCATGTATTTACATACACACATGGGGGTGATAGTGGCTCACGAGATAGGGCAGTTGTCTCCTGACCAGCAAGTTGGTGGTTCGACTCCAAGTGCCTAAGTGTCCCTGAGCAAGACATTGAACCCTGAATTACTCCCGGTGGCTTGACTAGCGCCGTTGTGTGGCAGCCTGTCGTCATCGTTGTGTGAATGGTGTATCATCTCCTGTAAAGCACTTTGGCCAGTGCAACACACTGTGGAAAAATGCGCTATATAAATACAGTCCATTTACCATTAATCCAGTTATAATGCAGTTAAGGCTCTAATGTGAGTAAAGTGGGGCAGTCATTAAAACCCTACTCATATGTTAATGCACTTGTGCTCAGAACTGAAATAACATTTAATCACAATAAAATATGTGGGTCATCCCCTTTTTAGTTGTTATTCAAGTGAATTTCAGACATGCAGTATATACTGTACATATTCAAACTGTGACCTAGTTATATTAATAAACCCTTACAGTATTAGTAGTCAGTCATTTAGTAGACATTACTTCAGTTTTCATTTAATATCTTAAGCTTTTCATCATTTGTCTTGTCCCCTGTCAGGTGTTTGACTTGCGTCAATGCCACAGGCAGATGCAGCAGCAGGCAGCAACAGCAGAGGCAGCAGCTGCTGCCCAGGCAGCAGCAGTGGCTGGAAACATTCCTGGACCTGGCTCTGTGGGAGGCATCGCCCCTGCCATCAGTGAGTGTTCTTCCTGCTGCTCTTACCCTTTAGCAAGTGTATTATTATGATTGCTCCTCATCAATGTTCTCCATGGGCATGTGGAGTCCAGGCTAATATCAGGGACTTCTTTATGGCGCTAGAATGCTCAGCATTGTGAGAAAAAGAATTACAGAGCAGCATGAACAGATGAAAAGTGACCAGCAATGTCAATTAATGACTAATAAAAGGCTGGAAATTAGGCTCCATTGTCTTAATGGATAATTGATATTCAGTCAGCATGTCTTGAATAAATTGGACTGTCCCCATTCTTAAATTTATCCTTGCTTTAGGCAAACTGGATTGTGAAACTGTATTATAAAGGACAAAATACATACTGGGTCGGGATGGGGTAATATGTTAATATAAAAAATATAATATCACTAAGCATATTTGAGACTGCAGGATGTGGCTAAAGAGCTGGTTAAGCCCCTTTTCCCTCACCAGCTCAACTTGCCTCGCCTAATTTGTGTTTCCATCAGTCAAATGTTGAGAATAGCACCTGGTACCTGCTAATATTTTAGGTATCACCTCTGTCAAGGTTCCGAGCGAGCAGAGGTGATACCAAAATGTGACGTGTAAACACTGCAAACTAGCGACTGGTCAGAGAAATTCTGTCAACACGCGAGATGTCCTGGAGCAAAGAAAGCGCCATTTTTAAAAACTGTTATTTAACACTAACTGCTACTTTACATCCACATACCGAGAATCAAGAACAGCAAGAACCTTCGATGTCCTCTGCTGTTACTGTGTCGGTCACTGACAACGTCACAGCAGTGTAATGCGGTGTTGCTATGACAACCAGCTACACCGAGAAATGACCATCTGCAGTGGAAAACCAAGCACCTGGTACCAAAAGCAAGTAGGGTTGAGCTGGTACCAGGCAACAAAAAAAGCGGCTTTAGAGTCTAAAAACAGACCAAACAAGAATGAACTGGCCGTTACACTGCATTTCTTTTTGGTGTTAAGTTTGTTTCCTGGCATTGTGAGATGTTTGATAACGCAGATTGAATATCTACCCAGTAAATGTTAGAATAATTAGATTCAACATCCGAAAGTGTTAAGTCACTAGGAAAGTTGGCTCAGTGCACAGCCACAAGAACACAAGAGGTAGAATAAATATAGTATGACATGAGTGGCCTAATCTGAGGGGGAGATGTGTGTATGGCGGTAGTACTTTTTCCACAACTTTTACTTTGGTACACAGTAACTTTTCTAAAATATCCCTGCTTTGCTTTGGCCTTTAAATCAAATCAAATCAAATTTTATTTGTATAGTGCCAAATCACAACAAAAGTAATCTCAGGACTCTTTACAAAGTAAGGTCTAGACCTTACTGTTATCAATATTATTACATAGGGAAAACCCAACAAATCCCCCTCGAGCAAGCACTTGACTTTAGTACCGCATTGATCTAAAAATTGCTACTGATACATCCCCTGCAGGTTTGTCTGCTGCTGCGGGCATTGGGGTGGATGACCTGCGCAGGCTGTGCATCCTGCGGATGAGCTTCGTGAAGGGCTGGGGGCCCGACTACCCAAGACAAAGCATCAAAGAGACGCCCTGTTGGATTGAGATCCATTTACACCGAGCTCTACAGCTGCTGGATGAAGTTCTGCACACCATGCCCATAGCTGACCCGCAACCTCTTGACTGATTTAAAATCATGATGTGTATAGAAAAAAAAAATTAGACAGTACTTTTAGTAGACCACTCCACCTATAGGCCTGGGGTGCCAAAGGAGGACTGCAACCAGAGGGATACTGGGTAGGTTGTAAGAGGTTGTAACAAGGACGTAATGGCTGGCAGCATAGTCCAGACGCAGGTCTTTCAAACCAGTCAGTATACTGAGCGAGACTCCAGGTCTGTTACTTCAGTGACTTCCAAGCAGCAGCTGGAGGAACATGAGTCACAATGGGAGGGGTTGTAGCACACTGGAAACATGCTGCCAAGAGGATGCACGTATAAAAGGAAGCAAGTATTCTGACATTGTTCCCCAACTGGAGTTGCATAACATCATGAAGTGAACAAGGCTGTCATTCTCTTTATACAGGAATACAAATGTATTTAATAAGCAATATTGCTGAACAAAACAAATGCACCATCACAAGAGAATGCAGGGCCTTTAAGAATTCAAGATGTTCGGAGCTCCCATAGCAGATTTACAAAATTCTTTTTTGAACTACTTGGAGAGCAAACTCTGAAGCTTCGAGTTGAGCACAATGTGGCGGTTTGTATTGGATACAAACTTTACTCTGTCTGAATATATTAAATGTGATTTCAGTTGGAGTATACTGCCGGTCCAGTCCTCCTTGGTTGGCTCTCCGGTGCTGACATCATGTAAGTCGAGTTTTTTTTTTCCTTTTCTCACAGATCAGGACGTTTATACAACATCGTGGTATTTAAAACTCATGTTCTTGTAAGATATCCAAAATATTTTTAAATGCTGATGGTCCTTATTTGATGTTTTTGTTTTATATTCTCCTTTTGAATAGTTGTTTTTAACCATGTAAAGAGCATTTGGAAAAACCCATTTTAGCAGATCTCTGCTTCCCTTTTAACTCTGTAAAACCTTCCTGCTCTTCCTCCACCAGTCAAGCCTGTTGTGAGATTGAGAAGTTATGTTTTCTACTAATGGTTTTCAAACCCCAGAGTTCATTTAAATCATAATGTTTTTTTTTTTTTTTTAAAATGAGTATAACATCTGTGTAATCTGATTTCTATTTGTCATTTTTTAATTAGGTGCTCACATAGTCTCAGCACTATTAATTTGCCCAAGTATTTAGTTTTCTTTCATGGAGTGGTTACCTGTTGTATCCAAATAATCTGTTAGCATAGCTGGAACTTTTTTCTTGATAATTATCTAGGTGAGATCCATGAAAAACTGGGTTATGTTGTCTGACCAAAATCTTTTTTCAGCGTCAAACACTCCATGACAGCAGGTTTGGAAAGCGTGTTTAGCTCTGTTCTGGCAAAATGATGATTTTGTTGAACATATTAGGTTGTGGCGTTGGAGTGGCTCCTTAAATTGCTACTTATAACTGTTTAACATCCAATTTTCAAACCTACAGGTGGCAAATCTTTGATACTAAAAAGATGCATGTTGGGTGAAGCGTCAAAATTTAAGATGGCTCACCGCCATCCATTTTAATTTGAGTATTACTTGGATGACGGTTGCTGTGATGTGGTGTAAAGGAAGCAAGAATTGATCTCTGCGAGGAAGTGTAAGCCATATCGATGCCAAATATACCATAAAAAGAGTGAAAAGGTTAATAATGACAACGGTCATTTCAGTGCTACGTTGCTTGTAATAGGTTGGTTTTAATGATCAACTGAATGATTTTAGTTTTTGGTTAACACTAGTCAAAAATATTTTATTTGGAGCTCTGTTCATCTACAGCTGTTGTTGTTTCCCCCCTACCTTTACAGTAATGAACCACTGTGGTCATAAGTGAAGACCATTAAAAAAAAAAATGCTGTATAATTTTCAGGAAATGCAAGTTCCTGCCCATCTTAATCTTTACAATACATTCTGAACACAACTGACTTTAAAAGATATGTGTTTATATGTATGAATATGGTTAAATAAAATTCAACGGACTAACGCTATTGTTGTCATTTGAGTGTGCGAGCCAAAATTACGAGAAAAGACTTTGACTTTGAACAAGAAAACGTTTATTACTGCAAAGACAAGTCACAAATTTTAAGAAAACAACACTAAGAAGCTAGCCTGAGCTGAGATCTGAAATATTCAGAAAACCAAACTACGTGTCTTTAATAGTTTGTATATTCATCAATACGACACACTAAATGATGTCTTTATAAATATAAAAGTCCCCCAATTGTCCTCATCAAATACACAATACAAATCACCCTACATGGGTTGGTTTGCTTGCCAATTTGAGTCGATACAGTATATGAAGAAAACTTAACGGCACACAAAAAGAGAGTCACGTGAAATTTGTGTGTATATATTATCAGATACCATACATTATCCAACTAAGAGTAAAAAGAAATCACAGAAGCACTTAAGCCAACATATGTAAATGATAAAATGTTCACCAAAAGAAATCAATTAAGACAAATAAATATACATTTTCCTTTTGATATATATACACATTTTTGTCTAGGGTGAATCAAAAACCTTTCCCAAATGCCACTGCCAAATGCTTGTGCTTGCATTAGAGCGTGCTACAGATGGCCACGACTCACTAGACTGTCAAATGGCACTTCAAAACATCCAAATACAAATCTCAAACAGGTCACAGCATTCAGAGAAATATCATTGACAAAAGAAATCACAACCATGAGAAAACAAGTCATGAGAGCATTTTAATTACAGTAACTCTCCTTGTTCATTAACCAGTTCTATACAATAAAAAGCTGTTTGCAGATAATCTACTGTGTGTACACTAAGTGCGCGCGCGCGTGTGTGTGTGTGTGTGTGTGTGTGTGTGTGTGAGTGTGTTGTCACATCCAGTAAATAATATATAGTTCTGTCTGAGGACTTGGCTATATGCTTCCTCAGGGATGGTGTTTTCTCAGTGGCAGCCCTGTGCAATGGAACGTCTGCTCTGAGAGCCTCTATCTGTAGCCCAGCAGAGACCCAACAGTCACTCAGGTCATCTGCTCTGGCCGGGGCAAAATTAAAGGCACTGGAGTCTGCTATGGGTCAGTGAAGCTGCCATGTTTGACCAGGTGAAGAGGCATTTCTATGTTTTTGCTCTTATGACAACTTGAGGACTACCTTTCTGGTTTGAAACAACTGTTACAAAAACACTTAATTCTCAATTTCATCGACACTTGGAAAATAATGTAGAATTGTGTTGGCAGCATTAACATTAGTCTTGTCATAACCAGGCAGGCTTTGAGATGCAGAAAGCTGAATCATTGTCTGGCACGCAAGTCTGTGTAAAAATAAAATGTGAAGGGGGGACAAAACAAAACAAAACTGACAAATACAGTTTCCAGCAGCACATGATAGGCGTGCATGATCCTAAAGCACACAATTAAGATAAGAAAAAAAAAATTAAGCCATTGTCACCTCAGGCACAAAATAATACCTTACCATCTATGGTGGTATAGTTAATTTATATGACAAGGGAGCTGAGATTCATATGAAAATTATTCAATGAGATAAAGGTAAAAATGCCATAGTCTAGATTATACATCCTGCAAAACCTTCATTCCTAACCTGTACATACTACTGAGATTTACAGTGTATTTTAAAAATTTTAGTCGGACAGAAACCCATCACTTTTTACAACTTTAGGTCTCAAAAATTCAGTGAGAGCTGTAAGTCAGTCAAGTGAGCTCTTGGGAACGGGGCACTTTTCTTATTTTACACAGCTATGAAGTGAACATTAAATAAGTGAAGCTCTGAGGAAAGTATAAGAAAGTAATTAGGGATAATGTTTTTGTATCCATTCAATTTTTATTTTACATTTTCATTACCTTCTGCATGTTCTCTCAGCTTGTGTTTGATAGTTTAGAAAGTTCACTATGGGCACAGACTGATATAAACAAGATGCCCCAGGCCTTCAGCTTCTCAAAGTTTACTGACTTTTTCTTGCAGACTTTCCAAACTGCAAACTACAATACGATAAAGATAGCCAAATGTGTATGTGCTCAATTCCTAGGCATAACCCAGACATTTCAAAGTAGTAGGGATCAGGGTATGGCTACAGTATGACATGTATACCATAGATTTAACAAATAAGGAACGTGTCTTTGGGATTACTTTTATTTACTTTTAGTTATTTTTCTTATTTCCCAAAGTGTCTTAGAAGTGACTTAAAGCATCCGTGAGAGTCCACTGATGCAGTAACCTAAATGACACACAGTATTAGCACTTTCCCACCTTCCTGTACTGCTAAGCATGTTTTCTACACAAAAACTCCTCTTAAAGGAATTGTTGGACAATAACCTAAAAAGACTTATTACAGCAAATGCAACTTTTTTTTTTTTTTTTTACCGTTAATCAACCTATACATGACTTAAAAAAAAAAAAAAAAAACAACAAAAAATCCTTCCTGTCCTTCTGTACAGTAGGTCTGCTCTTTGCAGTGGTATAATTATCAGTACCAGTTATATTCATCTAAATCAAAAACACCAATAGAATAAATAAACATTTCTGCAGCAAAATGGTGCCGACCGTGAAAAACAGAACGAAAACTATTTTAGTAACGAAATCTTCTGACTTAGAGGATTAATCTCAATAGTGTCCACAACATAGAAGGCTATAACAGTTCAAGTATAGATGTAGTCTAATGAGTCAGAAGTTAGTCCCTATGCCTTTCCCATTTCACAGTCTATGAACTAATTACAGAGGAGCTACCAAAGAAAACAATCACATATAAACAGTTACCCACATAAAAAGCAACAAATATACGTAGTGTATTATCATTATATATACTATACATATATATTATATCTCTCTTTGAATATCAGAAAATATCTACTTTTGGTCCACTGTACAAAGATGATATTTAAACAGGGAACAAAGCATGAAGCATTTTAATGGGCTAAAAACTGAAATGATAATGTATCAGAGGTGAGAGAAAAGCACTGCAGATTTTCTCTGACATGTTGAGATTTGTGCAGTACAGTGGTGTGTGTGCAATAAGGTTTGGTGACTGTGCTGCACGCATCAAAGGGCTGGCACCACTGGTTTGAGGTAGGGTGACTGATGGATGTGTTCCAACACATGCACACAAGCACGCAGACACACAGGCATATATATATATATATATATATATATACACACACACACACACACACACACACACCCACACACACATACATACACATGCACATAAAAACACAGTGCAGACGTCTGCGTTCGCTGTCTCACACACACGGACACACACCACCCAACGACAAAGGCTAATGCGAGAGTAGGCCTCAAGAGAGCAGAGTGAGAGCAGGAGCAAGGCTAAAGACCATGATTCAGATAAATAATAAGCTTAGTAGAGCTGATCCAAAGCAAACAACCAGTGTGTCTGTGCCTGCATCCCTTCTTCTCAACACTGATGAGCCAGCCCAAATCCAGCCACAAGTCACCAGAAAGCCAAATCTGTGGCTGGGACAATCCACAGGGGCTGCGGGCTCTCTACACCACATTGTCAGGACTACAAGGACAGCTGCATTTACGGATAAGGCACTACGATAAAGCCGAGGTACATTAAATCCCTGACATTCCTTCTGCTCAGCAACATGGCACTGTGGGACAGGAAAAAGCTCTCTGGTGGCCCAAGTGGCTCGCCCTCAGCTTCTTCTTGTTGGTTATTTTTTGGTCCATCACAGAGTTAAGAAATTTCTTTAAGACAAACTACAAAACTAGGGGAGCATATGCAGTAAGTTGTTTTCACGATTACAGTTCATTATGTAAACCACACTAAAGAGCATCTAAAGGTAACAAAGGCAGCTTGCACTGAGGACATGGTTTTGTACAGCTGTTCTTTTCAATCTCATTTCTTTATACGCGAGTAGCAGCACAGATTTCTTTAGTAGTTTTCTTCTGTGGCTAGAAGCTGTAAGTAGTTATCGGTGGGTGGCTACCAAATAATTTTCAAACTGAACAGGCAAAACTGCCCTATTATCCTCATAACCGTCATGCATACATAGAAAGTCATCCCTTTGTTTTTTAAGCTACATACAATACTCAAAATTGTTCAGCCAAAAATTTATCAGCAGTTGGAATGCATGTTGACATAAATCATACCAAAATTAGGAGGGATAATTAGAAATTGAAACAAAACACAATGATAGCACCATGATATTTGGACAATACCAATTTAAAGTACAGCAAAACTATGTACAGTAGGTGAAGGGTTTGAGTCAATGACTTTGCTCCACTGGGACTAGTGACGTGGATTTGAGCTCTGAGACATCAGTAGTATGTAGGAATTTAATTTTCCTTCAAGGTAAAACGTGTCTGTATATACAGACAGAGCCGAAAAGTCATGCCTAACCAGGAAACATCTAACTGTTCCTATTAGTCCTTTTCCTCCAGGTCCCTTCCACCAGCTGCCGCATTGTGATAAAGCACAGACTTATGGGATGACACCACATCCAGAATCTAAGCAGTCAGAGATGGACAGCACATCTTGGCCAGAGTATCAGCACTCTAGCACTTCTCCATTGGCCAGGCTGGATAGGAAGAGGACAGCGTGTCCACACAAGTGCAGAGACAATGCATGAAACAGATGGAGACATCTAGACTTACATAGAAAAAGATATGTGGAGAGTGAGACATCAAAAATAGGCCAGACATGGTTGGCTGTGCCCTCAGACCCTCAAACGGAGGCGTAGGTGTTGCCTGTGGCGCTGCAGTGGCGGATAGTGGGAGTACCAGCTGAGGGGGTGAGGATGTGCTCAGTGTGGTCCTGCGGGGGCTGGGGCAGCGAGTGGAGGACACCTGGCTGCACAACACCCACCACAGGGTGGGACCCATCCTCTAGTGCCCCGACCTG